AGCACGGTGTTGCTGCACGGGCCTGAAAACTGGCCCGAGCGTTGCACCCCGACGGGTTAAGGGATACTGATGCGTCCATCTATAGGAACAAGCACACTTCTTGTCACGGTACTGGCTGGGCGGCAAATGAGTGGGCGTATGCACAAGTCATGCTCCAAGCGAGCTTTAAGCGTGGTCGGTCTGGCGTGAGTCGCGGTAGAAAGCTAGCGTCAGCTGTGATAAATTACAGCTAAGCTGTTTCAGGCTGGATGAGCGGATCCTCCTCACCTGTCAATTCGAAGCTGGCGGAGTTTGAATTAGCACAGAAACACAACTGCCTCTCGGACGCTGTCGCGGCGCTTGGGATCGGATCACCATACAATGAGCCGCAACTTGACAAATCCTTGGCAGGATGCACGAACTTTTGGCGCATCCACGGCCGTCCGAAGTAACGCACTCGTTGTTGGCTCACGGCGGATTGTGGTACTGCACGGTAAGCAGGAACCATTTCTAAAAGATATCAAGTGGAAAGGCAGTGTGCAATTCAAGGCAGCTATTCCGAGAATTTCAATGACCCCGAGTGCATGTTAGGTTTGTTTGTGTTGAGAAGTATATGCGGTGTCTCGTCACGGCGGGCGTCTCGCCACACAGGGATGGATGTTAGATAAGACGTGAAGTTAATTTAGCTGACTAAACAGAACTCCTGAAGAATTGTATTTTATATTGAAGGTTGCACCAAATGTTTGTATCAGAGTCACAAACGAGTATCTGAATTTACTTCTATCACTCCGTTGATCACAGGTCGTGGTACAGGAGCCATGGGGTATATCTAGCTACAACTATCCGCTCATGAAACACAGAATCTTAGGCGAGTTCCATCTCTCGTTAAGCCCACACACCAAGCGTCCAGCTTCCTCTATCTCCTGCACCAGGCCGCATCCCAGGACCCATGCTCTGCCGTTGTGGAACAACACTGATTTCCTTCTCTCGACTGGCCCCTTGTAGCCCGTGCTGCAAGAATTTGTCCCGTTCAATCTCGACGATTCCTTTCACACGCATCTGAGCGATGAGCGATGCACCAGCCCAAGCTCCCAGTGACTCGACCCCTCGAATCACTCCCCCAATGTTAGTTGCAGTGGGTATCATCTTCATATTTAGATGAGCGAGTTTGTCTGCGATAGGGTCCGTTTCCGGCTCCGCAAGGCCTGCAAGCACGGGCGTAGACTCGATATCCGGGTCTGTAGTGTCGGCCACTTTCGTAGAATCTGATGTACGTGCTTGTAGCCGTTGCTGTCGCTCCCGAATGAGACGCTCGTGCTTTTCATTTGCCGACCCATATGATTTTACGTTGTCCCATCGCTTTTGCTGGACAAGCTTGTCGACTTCCTTGAGGAGGCGGGTCTTGAGACCAGGGAGGTTGGACACGCCTCCTGTGATGATGATGCGAGACATGCAGACCTTGCGGACGTCTATTGGAAGTGAGAGAAGGGCACGGTACGCGAGAATGTGCAATGGGAGGTCGTGGTCGTCGAAGTCATGAAGTGGGGTGGCCGAAGCGAATATAGCCGTCTCTGCGGGTGACGAGAGTGCTGAGAAAGGTAAGGTGAGAGTAGTTGGAGGAATTGCGAGTGGAAAAGGAATCGAAATCGATGGATCGGGTAGCTCTTCGGGGGCATCTACAAACTCATCCTCGCCATTTGAGGTCTTTTCATCAAGCGTGTCGCACCAGCCCACTCGCGAGAGCACTTCTTCTGCTTCTTCGAAAGTAATGTCGTCTCCAGGAGTTGCAATGCCCCTTTTAGCAAGCTCTTCGTTGAGCATTTTAGCCATCTCTTCGCTTAAATACTTTCCCGCTCGTATGCTTCGGCGCTGATGTACCTCCCGAAACTCGTACACGCCAGTGATTGTAGTTTCTGCCCAGCCCATATCTATCACCAATGCCGACCGTAAGCCGGCAGCGACGGCTGACAGTATTGGCGACGACAAAAGCGTAACACTTGGCGCCTGAAAATTGGTGAATAGAACTGACAGAAACGTTGACAGCAGTTCACGGGGCATAAGAGGCGGCAGCGCAAGCAGCACTCGACGTGGCTTGGGGTCCAGCAAGAAGTATTTGTTGTGGGCCTCCCGCATGGCTCTCTCAAATTTGTCCTCGATCAAACCCAAATCCTCATCCCTCAGGTCCATTCGATACAGTTCGTACTCTCGTCCCCACTCTTCGCCTCGTTTCCGTTTCCTGCGCTTAGAGGCATACTCTGGGTTCCACTGCCGATAGTCTCCTACTCTTCGCTGCTGATCTGGGCCGAAGTTCAATGTGCATCTTGGTGCACTTTCCCCTGGGAAACCACCTCGCAAGTATCGGGAGCCCAGCTCAAGAACTATGTATTCCTCTTCGGATCGAAAGCTGCCTCCTGGAGACCCGTATATGGAGGAAGTCGAGCGGAGGAGAGGTGTACGAGGTGATTCAGGCGTCGCAGCAAGGTCTTGTATTCGTGAAGGGGTTGGCCGAGGGCGGCTCACGGAGACCTTTCGGTCGGTAGATGTAGCCATTGAGGCTTGTAGTGCACGATGCGAAGGTGTATAGCTGTGGATTTGAATCTCAGGGTCCCTTCAGGGAATTAGACATGGCAACAATTAGCCCGATGTCTGTGTACGTGAGTCTGGTGAAATCTTAGAGGGCGATGCTACTATTTTCGGAGTGAATACAAATATCGAGAACAGTGATAGAGTCGCCGTGGTCGAGGGATTCGGCTAGGACGCTTGCGGTTAGACGCTTGGCGGGCTTGGCTCGGACGGCAAGCTCGAGAAAATATCCTCAAAAAATTCCCACCAGACACCAGGAGCTACCTAGAGCCCACGCACCAACGACCGCCAACGTTCTGCTCCTGCCAATCCAGCCGAAATGGCTCCTCTCTTTATCCTCACCGAGACGTCGGCCGGCTATGCGCTTCTCAAGGCCAAGGACAAGAAGCTGCTGCAGCGGGATGCGTCCGACATGGCGAGCGCAGAGCAAATATGCAGCCTGTAAGTTTCCCAGGGAATATGAGAGTTGCGCAATAGCAGATACTGATCCTCTGCTTTCAGGCTCAAGCTGAAGAAGTTCGACAAGTATCCTAATGCCACCACCGCACTCGACGAAACTGCTGCCATCACCGAAGGAAAAGTTACCCCACGCCTCGCCCAACTGCTCGATACCCTCAAAGATGAGACCAAGGCCTCCCTCGCCGTCGCCGACCCCAAGCTAGCGAATGCGATCAACAAGCTCCCAGGCCTGTCCCTCGCACCCGTTGCCGACTCGACTACCTTTGACGTCTACCGAGCTATCAGAGAGCACCTTACGTCTCTGATTCCTGGACTTCTGCCGAGCGACGTCAACACTATGAACCTGGGTCTATCGCATTCCTTGAGCCGACACAAGTTGAAGTTTTCACCCGACAAGGTCGACACCATGATTATTCAAGCTATCGGTACGTAGTTCGAGCCCTATAATTCAATCATCCCAGCTATGGAAACTAACGCAACACAGCGCTTCTCGATGACCTCGATAAAGAACTAAACACCTACGCTATGCGAGTCAAGGAATGGTACGGATGGCATTTCCCCGAGATGGCCAAGATCATCAACGACAACGTTGCGTACTCTCGAGTTATTCTCCAGATGGGTATGCGCACTGACGCTCACTCGACCGACCTGTCCACTATATTGCCCGAAGAGATCGAAGCGGCCGTGAAGGCGGCTGCTGAAGTCAGCATGGGCACCGAAATGACAGAGGAGGATCTAGACAGCATTAAGATGTTGGCTGAACAAGTGGCCATGTTCACCGAGTACCGACAGCAGCTCTCATCTTACCTTACCGCTCGCATGGTATGCAAATCCCAAGACCTTCATATCTGGCCCCCACTAACGGTGTATGCAGACCGCAATTGCTCCAAATCTGACAGCCTTGGTTGGCGAGTTGGTCGGTGCACGGCTTATCGCTCACGCTGGCTCCCTCATGAACCTTGCCAAGTCTCCCGGTTCGACTGTGCAAATCCTCGGTGCTGAGAAGGCCCTCTTCCGCGCTCTGAAGACCAAACACGATACTCCCAAATACGGACTTATCTATCACGCTTCGCTGATCGGCCAAGCCACCGGCCGCAACAAGGGAAAGATTGCCAGAATGCTCGCTAGCAAGGCCGCGCTTGGGCTTCGTGTTGACGCGCTGGCGGATTGGGGCACTGGTGGTGAGGGCAAGGGAGTCGAGCCTACGGAAGAGGAGAAGTCCGCGATGGGACATATGCACAGAGTACAGATCGAGAGGAGGCTACGAGCACTCGAAGGCAAGCCGCTCAAGGCTATGGGCTCAGGCATTCCACCACTTCAAAGCGGCACCGGCAAATGGGAGGTCAAAGAAGCCCGGAAGTACAACGCAGATGCGGACGGTCTCGCCGGGGATGAGCCCGCAGCAGCGAAGAAGGCGAAGAAGGCGAAGACGAACGGCGTATCCAAGGACGTCAAGATGATTGAAGAAGTCGACAGTGACAATGAGTCCGAGAGCGCGGACGCTGGCGCATCAGATTCCGAGTCGGAAGCGGAGTCTCCCAAGGTCTCGAAGAAGGCGAAGAGCAGCAAGGGCGACGCAGAACTCAGCAAGGCCGACAAGAAAGCAGCAAAGGCCGCCGAAAAGGAAGCGAAGAGGAAGCGCAAAGCCGAAAAGGCCGCGAAGAAGGAGGCTAAGCTAGCTAAGAAGGCAGCCAAGGAAGCGAAGAAGTCGAAGACCGAGTCAGCACCAGAAGGCAAGAAGCGGAAACGGGATGACGACGGCGAGAAGGTCGAGAAGAAGAAAAAGAAGAAGAGCAAGGACTAGGCTGCTGTACCTTGCGGTTGGTTGATATGCTATGCGGTCGAGATGAGCTGAGATGGATTTTCCTCGTTTCCATTTGAGCTTCTCTATATCATGCTAAAAGGAATACGGCGTTTGTCTCTGGGTTTCTCTTTGTATGTCGCTGAGATATACCGAGCCGGCGTGAGGGGAGTTGGGGCCGGCGGCACTGGACTTGTGCTCTCTTGCATTTCTTCTCTCTATTTTTGTGCTGTTCTGGACTGTAAGTAGGCGGTTGAACCTCAAACATTGGCGACGCCTGTGGATATGGCTAGATGTGACAAGAATCCTGAAACCTTCATTACTCTGCTCTCCACGTGACTTAAACTAGTTCGTACACGCAGCTGGGAGGACTTCAGATATGAGCGAAACCTATCGTCATAGCTAGCCTCCAGATATATGAAAAAGAAACCCTTTAACACCATCACACTGCCTGCCTCCCACGTGCCTCCCACCCCCACCACATCACCTCTAATGCCCATTGGCCTGTGCCTGCGCCTGCGCGGCCTGCTCTACCTTCTCCGGCATCTGCCCCAGCACCTCCTTGATCACATCCAGAATCTCCCACTGCTCGCTCTCGGCAAACCGCACGCCCGCCTCCTCAACCACCATCTCGAACTCGATGATGTTCACCGGCCGCAGGTTCAGCAGCATGATGTACTCGGCCTTGGTGAGCTTGTACTTTGGCGACAGCCGCGCCATGAGCGAGGCGGTCCCCGCGACCGAGGTGGGGGTGTAGGTCGAGGTGGGGGTGTTGAAGGGGTGGGTTGGGCGGGTGAGGTAGAGGGAGGCCTGGAGGTGGATGTGAGATGGGTGAATGGGGGACGAGTTGAGGGGGGAAAGGGGGAGGGGAAGGGGAAGGGGAAGGGGAAGGAGAGGGAGCGTACGCCTGTCATCATGTCTTTTAGGTTTTGTGGGGGTTTGCGCTCGCGGGCGGTGCCGTCACTGCCGCTGTATTCGGCGGCTTCGGTTTTGAGGATTTGGGCCACTTCCCAGTTTGTGAGGAGGGCGGTTTGGGCTTTTAGGATCTAGAAGGGTGAGGATGGGTGGGTGAGGGGTGGGAGAGGAGGTGGGGGGATGGGGGGGGCGGACCTTCATTTTTGTGGGAGTTTGGGAGAGGTGGGTGTGGGGAGGAGTTGGTTTAGCTCTGTGGGGAGTGCTTAGTGTGATGGTGTTTAGCGATGAGGTCGATAAGTTAAAAAGATTTTGAGACTTTGGATTTGAAACGGTTGTATGGACGGGATGATACTATGCATAGGGCTGTTGTAGGGGAGCAAATGAGATGATGCGAGGAAAGTTTCGGGACAGCATATTCATCTGACGGTTTGGTGACTGCGATGTTTTCTTATGAAGCCTTGAGATTTTAGGAGGATTAGAACGAAAGTGCGACAACAAGATAGAACTAAGTCTTTGAAAGTAAATGTGAATGAGACAAACGATGCATATATCGATGAAGCAGCTGTAACGAAAACCATTCTTACCGGACGTGACTCAAACATCGAGAGTGTGACAGTTCCAAGAGACGACAGCTTGCAATTTGCCGCAGTTAGCTGGAGAGTATCAATTTATTCCTTAGAAGTAGGCTCATTGTGTGAGGGTTTGGTTGATGTAGGAGCAGGGTGTATTCGTAGATTGCACAAGTGATCAATTCTCGGCAAGACTTTCCTCACTAATCAGACGAAATTTTTCCACGGTGAAAGAAAGAATTCTCAACCCTCCACGCTCTATAGAATTCTTGAGGCGAGAAAGCTCAGCTTACATGGTACAATCCCTGATCGAGCTTGGCCACGAAGATAGAGCTCTCCTACTAACAGCGAGAGCAGTGGATAGCCGTAGAAGTATGATTGGACGGTTAATATCATGGATCAGCCTCACGCAGGGGTCGCGTCTCTCATCACTCCAAGCACCATCACGACTTCAAATACCGCATTACTCAAGCCCTAATGTTGCACTACCCCTCCCGTACCTCTAGCCGTGTACAATGCTCCTTTCCCCTATCCTACGGCAGCTAAGACACCTCCCGCGCCTCTTCATCCGCCATGCTACATCCTCGGGACCTCTAGGTCCAGCTCTCCGCGCCTTTCTTGCGTCCCTCCTCCTATGGCTGCTCGCATTCCAGTACTGCAAGTTCCGCTACTGGCGCAACCCCCACTCTGCCTTCTTCCGCAGTGAGGGCGTGTACGACTTGCACTACAGTGCCAACCGCCAGGCACAGGCTGCAGCCTACATCGAGAACGCCAACACGACGGACGATGGCGCCGCGGGCGAGCTCATACGAGGCGGGGAGGAGCCGGTGATATGTGCGGCTTTTGTGACTGTGAAGAGGGAGAAGATGAATTACTTCGCTCAGTCGATTGGGTCGATGTTAGAGGGCTTGACGGAGGAAGAGCGCAAAGCGCTGCACTTGTCCATTTTATTCGCGGATACAAACCCAGCTGGACATCCCAATTGGAAGGACCCGTGGCTTAGGAGGGTGGTGGACAAGGCGGATACATATGATATCCCGGACGAAGAGCTCGCCCGGATCAAGGAGGCGGAGGAGAAGCGGAACTTTTACGTGAAAGGACTCTTGTAGGTGCTGTGATGTCTCCCGTTGCCGCAGAAGCTTACGAAGTGCTGGCACAGCGACTACAAATATACCCTGGAATATTGCTTGAATAGCAACGCGCCTTATATTGCCATTTTCGAAGACGACATCGTTTTTGCCGAAGGCTGGATGGCTAGAGTCCTCAATGCCCTCGCGGACGTCAGGCATACACCCCCAGCTCGTTCAATACTCCCCGACGCCAGCGTCACTCGCCCATGGCTATACCTACGCCTCTTCTACACAGAGACAGCGTTGATGTGGGAGCAGACGGACTACTGGTACGCGAACATACACCTAGCATTCGCTCTGTCTACCTTCACCGGCCTACTCACGCTCCTTGCGATCCGCTACCAATTCCCCTCGACACGTCCGCACCTCGACCCCCTTGCTCTCGCAGTAATAAGCCTTGTTACCGTCCCCGCCTTCACAGCCCTTGTCTTCATGATCGGGAAGTACTCTCTTCAACCCCTTTCAGGGGTAGTGAAGATGAACAAGTACGGCTGCTGCACACAGGGGCTTGTCTTCCCACGCACTCAGGTGCCAGGACTGCTGGGCTACTTCGCCGAGCGGGTGCATGGGCAGACGGACTCATTGATAGAGGAGTATGCCAATCGTGATGGGTTGGACAGGTATGCACTTGCGCCACAGGTGGTGCAGCATGTGGGGCTGCAGTCGAGTAGGGACAATATCGAGATCAATGCGAGGAGTACGTGGGCGTTTTGGTTTGAGGTCAATGACCAGAAGGCGTTGAGACGAGAGCATGAGAGGGAGGTTGGGCGGATCAGATGGGATGAGTTGAGGGGTAGTACCGAAGGATAGGAGTCGTTGTATTTATATACTACATATTAGCACCATCAATGGTCTTGTGCATGCTGCTCATTCTTAGGCCTGTCACCAGGTCTTGCCCCTATAACAAGATATTGCCCCTATAACAAGATATTGCCCCTATAACAAGATATTGCCCCTATAACAAGAGACTGCCCCTATCACAAGAATCTGGCCCTGTTACTGGATTCTGCTCTGCTGGTAGATCTAGCTTGACTTTTAATTGCATGGTTGCTCCTGTGAGAAACATAGACTTAGTGATTTGATTGCTAGAGGTCTTTTGGTCTGTGATTAACCAGCTATGCTACGGGCCAGAAGGACAAAGAACAGTCACATAAACTAAGACATTCTAGTCAATGCAAAGGAGGCCGCTAAGCTCCCTCAACTCTCACAAAGTAGCTGCGTGCCAATCAAATTTTTTGGATGCTGCTTGACGTCTGCGTGCATAGACTTTTCCAGTGCCAGAAGTGGGGTTTGGACTGCCTTGCTATCCTTCCCAGATTGGAACGTACCTTCTGCAAAGAGCAAGCCCGCCAATAAACTGCCTGGATGCCCACAAGCTGTTTGCAGCTTCCAAGGTTTTGACTTCTGCTCTTCTGCAACACTCAGCCCCAATCATACCTCACATCCTTGAGACGGCGTGAGTCCACACTGCCTGCCCATTTGCTAATTGATTCACCAGCCAGAATGCCGGGCGACAGGGCTCGTTCCATGGTTGAGGTGCGGGATCGGCGCTACCCCTCGCCAGCCATCGTCACCGACGCAGGCTGGGACTCGTCGACGCTGCCATCACCACAGCACCGGCACCTCCAGGCACATGAAGATCACCAGGTCCTGATCTCGATGGCCCCAAGATGCGGGCGATCTCCACGCGAGTGCCCAGCTGCACGGCGTCCGGGCCGAGCCACTGGGGCCGCTGGTCGAGGTGCTGTTCCTGACGATGCCACCACAGACGAGCAGCGAGGGCGCCACACCGACGACATCATCGTCATCCCGTGTGCCACAGTTCCAATCAGCCGCACGTCTTGGACGCGCTCGGGCCTCCCGGGATCAGCGGCACGCAGCAATTCGGACCAGTTTCCCAGCTTATGAAGGGCGACACGCCCGGCTCTGAGAATGCCATGCTCCTTTCCCATCCGCCCCCCAGTCCTGCTCCCGTTCGTCTGATGGTGGCGCGGGCAGGCGTTCAGCCCTGTGGAGATGCAGACAGCCGACCTGACGGCAAGGCCAGCGGAACGAGCGAATGGCAGCGACGGATAGGGCGGGCGGATGCTGCAGCGTGAGTGCGCGCAAAAAGAGTCGTCTCGAATCCCCCCGGGGTCCACCAGGTCCGCTGACAATGCTCAACAGCCCCAGGCCAGGCCTCGACCGCCGCTCGCTGGCCTCGAAAGCCTCCAGGGCTTCCCAGTGCCTCCCAGTGCCTCGCGGCCCCAGGAGAGGAGAAAATGGCGATAGCGCTCGATGCCACTGCCCGACGATAGGGAGCAGCAGCCGGAGCATTGAGGTCTCCCTCGACTGTCTCGCCGTCGCTGCTGCAGCGAGCCGCGCAACGTCTCGTGCTCCGTGTCGATGCTGCCTCGGCGCAGGCCCGAATGCCCGCATGCCTGCAAGCGGCGGCGGCATCAGCAGACAGGGCCGCACGGGCATCCGTCTGTTCCACAGTGTGGCGCCCGTGAACCGGCCAGGCGGTGCAAAATCTAGACCATGCGGGCTGCCTCTCCCGTCGCCAGGCCCTCGCCGTCAGTTTGTGCGCTGCTGCCGCGCGGTGGTTTCGAAGGGGTGAAGCGTGAAGGTGAAGACGGCCACGCTGCCAACCGGCCCCCGTTGCTGCTGGTCCGCAGTCTGGCCGGCCGTGTCGCTGGTCCGCCCCGCCGTTTGTTGTTCCCACACCACTACGGACTACCTCCACCACCGCACCCTCGCCAACCACACCCGAGTCTCGCAAGCCACCGTCGCCGTCGCCTAAGCCGCTTTGGTTCTCGCGTGTCGTTCGCGAAGAAGCCTGGTGCTAATCCCTACTGTTCCTTAGATCTCCAGCGCTGTCCGGTGGACCTGGCACTCATGCTCGATATCGACCCGGCTTCTCCCAAACGCGGGACCGGCAGCTTCGACGATGCTCTCCAGACCGCGTCCGACGGCGACCTCTTGGCCGTCCACAGTATCAAACATGCCATGGCGCTTTCCTCCCCGCTCGTAGAATGGTCCGATCCTGTCCTAGGTACCCTCGACCTTGCCGCCGACACTCTCCCACGCCCTGTTCGAGCTCCGGAACTTGCGACGCCTTCTCCCGGCTACGACAATTCGCATGTCGTAGACCTAACTGCTGGCACCTTCTTTCCCCTTGCCCCGATTTCTCCGCCAATTCCGTCTAAACTCGCTCGAGGCCACCGTCTCCCTGCTTTCGACCTTACCGATATCACGGCGTCAATTCCGCACGAAGCCCTCTCCCCTGGCCTTGATTTCTTCGCGAGCAATGGATGTGGCGGATTTCCGAGCTCAGATAATCCATTCCAAGATCTGACTCCACAGATAGGCCGTGTGTCAATTCTTGGCGCAGTCGATGATGGCTGCCCTAAAATCCCCGACATCCTGGAACAAGTTCCTAGGTGCCTTCCAGTCATTACTCCTCCGACTGAAGGAGGCTCTCTCCATTGGGAGAATTCATCACACGTTAGGACGGTCCCTTCCGGTGTAGTAGACAATCCCGATCCCAACCTGGCGAGCCCGCCGATGAGCGCAACCTCTCCAGCTGGCGAAACAATCACTGGCGAAGCAGTAGGTGTCTCCGGCCCGCCAGAACCAACCTCTTCGAGTGACGAGCCGTGGGTACTGAAAATCAAGACATTGCTCCGTAAGTGGATACCTATATAACACGACTTGCAAAGACTAACCATTTTCTGTAGTGGAGAGCGCCGATCCAGCTCCCGACACATCAATCAAGGTCCTGTCTCACGCGTTGCCTTGCCCTTCGGTAGCTGGCCATATGTTCCCGGATATCATCGATACCATACACCGTAACACTCCGACTGTACCAACAACTTGGATGAATGTCTACCATGCCGTACCGGGCCAATATAAGCTTGACGAAGTCCCGACCTCCCCCCCTTCCACTCCCGGCCCCACTGTTGTCGGAGACAGTTACTTCTCGACTAAGATCTATGATAGCGCTGTGTGCGTGTCTGACTATCAGGGCGACCTGAAGCTCATGAAACCTTCCCCACAGCCCGTCGTCCCACCACTGTCGGTTCATGTCTCTATCGTTGAGAGATATATTCCACCAACCAATGTCCACGAGTTTGCTGAGTTACTTCTCTTCACTGGCCACTCGATTCTCATGGACCGCCTGAGTGAACTCTCTGTGAAGGGATCGCTGTTGTTCGTCTATCCAACCAAGACCGGAGCTAAGACGTTCATGAATCAGTACTTAGGGCCAATTCTAGACCCTATATTGCGTTCAATGGTAATCGTCAACGACCTATCTACGGGCCTGGGTCAGACTCTAGGCCCTATGAACTCTGTCAACCACCTACTCGATTTCGCTGTTCTAGATTCCAAGATTCGACGATTCTGCGCCGAGCTCACGAAGGACAGCACAAAGTTGGCCAAACTCCATAGCCAGAAGGTCGGATTCTCCGTGGTACATGCATCAAAACAGGAAGTCCCTATTGCTCGGGAAGTATGGGCCGAGTGGTGGGTCAAGCAAGAGAAGCACAAAGTCCGCGAGACGGTTTCTAAGTTCTTCCGCATCGCGCACAAGCTTCCTGCGGAATCCCAGACCATGCCCACCAACCTGATCCAGGAGATCCTGGACGGCGTTGTCAAGAAGGCCTACGAAAACGGAGGACCGAAGAAGGGAGTGGAAGTTGGAGTCTTCGTCATTCGGAAGTTCCTGAAGGAATGAGGGGGGCGAGTCCATACACGACGGCACGACAGCGACTAAACGGCGACTAAATACCCCTTTCTTTTCCTTTCTCTCTCTTTGCATACTCGGAAGTAAACTAAATTCCATAGCAGTATAGCAGCTAATAACCAGAATAACTGATAAATGTCATGCTTGTGCCATGTTTTTACCTTGTGATGACGACGTTTGGGGTTCCTCAGGCTGTTTTCTGATTGTTCAAAACAGTGAGTTTACATCTCATTTCAATCTCTGATACCACCTCGAGGCGCTTCAGACGATGCTAGCCCGGTGTACACACATAGATAACGGCGGGTCACGACTGTGCTTTACTGATGGCCCTCACAAGATATTCGAATATCAACCCAAATAAATTATCCTCCTAAGTCTATGAATCTCACATCCTTAGATATCCATTGCTTTTTCAACGTTCATAGTACCGTCTAAGGGGCTCCCGAACCTACGAGAAATATTTCACACGAAGATGTCACAACCCGCACGCATAGCCCAGGAGATTCACTTGCTTTTCCAGCCCTATGGCGTCGTCTTGAGATGGCTCATGTGGGTGTGTACGTTTTGAGAACGAATGTTATAAACCGCAGGGTTGGATTCTGATAGCCTAGAGATTCACTGCTTTTCCGGCCCCAAGGCGTCGTCTGAGGTGGGTTCCTGTGTGTGAGGAGGTGCGGGGACGAATGTCGTAAACTGTAGGGTTGGATTCTGATAGCCTAGAGCTTCAGTGCTTTTCCGGCCCTGTAGCGTCGTCTGAGGTGGATCCCGTGTGTGAGTACGCTCGAGAATGAATGTCACACACCGCAGGCTTTAGTTCTCATAGCCTGGGTCCGCACGGTGTTTGCAGACCCCAAAGCGTCGTCTGCGGTGGCTCCCGTGTGTGAGTACGGTCGAGAACAGGTCTTGTGTTCCGGAGGCTGTAAACTTTCATACGTAGGGTGCCACTCCTATACCACACCCGTCTGAGATGGCCTAGCCAGCTTCCTGAGTGTCCATAAACGACTTGATTTTGTTTTGAGTCCAGCGGGCTAGAACGAACGTCGAGGTACCACATGCGGCGTGTTGGAGTGGTGTAGTACCCTCACCTCCAACTCGCATCCACCCAACTGTCCCCAAAACTTATTAAAAAGGTTCCCTCACGCAAAACCACCAAACCCCCCTTTCGCTTCCATCCCAGAGGTCACCTCCGCCCCAGCTCTAATCCCCCGAACAAAAAAGCTAAAAAAACTAAAAAAACTAAAAAAAAACTAACAAGCCGGAAGCTAGCAAAGCAGGCCCCACATAGTCGGATTTCATGCAGCTGTTAGTGTTCTGACGAACCGAGAAACTTGTGGCTGAAGCGGCTATTTTTAAAAATCCCGCCAAGCGCTGAGACCCCCTCATCAGGCCATCTTTTGCGGAAGTTGTGAATAATGGCGCCGAGGTGATGGGTTTAGTTCTGAAGAGGGAGGTGGATGGGGTAGGGGCTACGATCCTGGCGGAGAGGGAGCTGGGAAGCTCCTTGGGACGGGGGAGGGGAGGGGAGTTGAATGGGATGGTCGGAGAGCTGCGGAAGTTGGTGTGGTCTGGATCTTTTTGAGGTCGGGAGGGAGGGGCGTGAATGGGGGTCACGTGGTTGAGATGGGGAAGGGGGAGTCATGGGAGATGGGATATGTTGGCGAGATGGGTCTCAGAAACAGAGACTTCATCACTGATAGATAATTAGGCCAAGAGTTGCTAGAAGTAGAAGAGGTTCGCAATTTTGTTTTGCCGCCGCCAAGAAGAAGGATTTTCGAGCCGCCCGCCGTCTTTGAGCATTTTCACGGATAGCGCAACAACCACGCAAGTTAGCACGGATTTGACACCGGGACGTGGATCGCATAACCAAGTAGTATTTTTGAGGGAGTTTTGGAGAAGACGTAAGTCCAGGTGGTTGAGTTAGAGGAGGGGTTGCGTACTCCACACTTTCTGGCAGACCTCGCGGCTGCCAAGAGTTGCCAGAAGAGGAGATTCGCAAATTTGTTTTGCCGTCGCCGGGAAGGAGGATTCTCGAACCTCCCGGGATGAGTTTGCGTTGCAGGTGAGCTGAAACTAGTTCTACAAGGAGCTCCTTGGTTTTCTTAAAACCTTCCCTTTTTGGCCCCTTTTGTGAAGGAGGCACTAGTGCTGATTACGGCACCTGCATTGTGGTTTCTTACGAGAGGCTCCACAGAAAGAAACTTATCCTAAGATCGAATTTATTCTCGCGGTCGCGCATGATCTAGCAGGAATGTGGAGCTGCAAGCACACCGGCTAGGGCGGCTGATATCGTCTCAATGGGGCTATGCGCATGTTTTGGAAGCTCTCTTAATGTCATGGCCTCGTCTCTGGGCAAAGATATGGACGTTTTCTAGGATTGTTAGCATCTAGTAATCCTGGTTGACAGAATGGGTTCTACTAGCTGGAAGAGCTTGAGAGTTGAAACCTGAAGTTTGAGGCGGAGGAAAGGGTCTCTGACAACGCGGATACGAGCCGCCTGTACTACGTCCGACATTGCGCTTTTCTATTCACCGATATCATTCACGCCCATCGGTTACAGGGCCGTATCGTGCGGGCTAGAGCTATAAAGTAAGTTTGTGCTGCTCATGCTTACAGGGGGCGGAGCAGAATCGGATAAAACGCAAGATGTGCCTTTTTTTCTTGTTAGTAAGGTTATCGAATCGAGGGTACCTGCAGTAGACTACTAACTCTTGAAGAGATATGATCTTGAGTTCCTCACTCACAATGCAATCATCTGTCTAACACATTTGTGCTAATGACTATTACATTTTCCTAGGTATTAAGCCGCTTTTCATCCTGCTTCTCAGATCGTCAACTGCACTGCTGCATTCAACTCCTTGATCCTAGCCCATGACGCGCTCACTTCAATCGAAGTTGAACGCGTTCTTATACGCCGCCTTCTCCCTCTTCTTCCGCTCCGCCAGTCGATCCTTCACAACCTTCAACTCCTTCGCCACCGCCGCATCCCCAGGCACACACTTCGCCGCGGCCTCGAGATCCACAATCGCCTCCTCATCATTCTTCTTGCTGGCCCGCGCCAACGCACGTCGGAAGTACGCCTTCCCCTTCTCCGCCTCCGTCGCGCCCGGCACCTCGAGCGCCTTGGTCGCGCTGGAATCCGCGTCAGCGTAGTCGTGCAGCTTGTACTGCATGAGAGCCGAGTTGTTGTGCAGACTGAACTTCAGGGCCGACAGCTGCTTGCCGAGCTCCGGGGGGTCCGAGTCGAGCGGTTCCGGGTACTCGTGCAGGTAGCGGAGACCCTTTTGGTACTTTGCGAGGCCGAGCTTAAGGTTGCCGGCTTTGAAGGCTGTGTTGCCGAGGTCCTTGAGGGTGGAGGCGATCTTGAGGATGTCCGCCCCTGTGAGCTCCTTTTCTGGGGTTGCTTGGTCTTCCGGGTAGTCCTCGAAGGGGTCGCCGGTGGAGTCGGGCGTCTTTTCGACGCATTTGGTGTAGTCGGCGCCTTTGAGCTCGCCACAGTCTGGGAGTGTGTTAGAATAAATGCTGGGTACTTGAGTAGTCGGAGAGGGGTATCAAATGTACCGATGATCGTGGCGTCTGAAATGGGCTTGTCGCCATTGTGGGTACTGAGATTCTCAATCTGCCGCACGATGCTCTTGCCGTTGATGACTTCGCCAAAGACGACGTGCTTCTTGTCCAAGTGGGGTGTTGGGACCGTAGTAATGAAGAATTGGGAGCCGTTGGTGCCTGCAGCCTCGTTAGTAGGAGCTACAAGGGCTTCACTGTCCATATAATACCTGGGCCTGCATTCGCCATAGATAGCAGGAAGGGCTTCTCGTGTTTCAGTGCGAAGTTCTCGTCCTCGAACTTTTCCCCGTATATGGATTCTCCTCCAGTTCCATTGCCCATAGTGAAGTCACCACCCTGGATCATGAATTGCTTTATGACTCGGTGAAATCCAGAGCCCTTGAAGTGTAGCGGCTTGCCAGACTTCCCAATGCCTTTCTCGCCGGTGCATAGCGCGCGGAAATTCTCTGCTGTTTTGGGGACCACTGCGTTGCGGGTCAGATCGAGTCTGTGGAAGGGGAGGTTGGGTGATGCTCACGGTCATTGTACTGTGCGAATTTTAGTAAATAAAGATAGTAATCAAATGTGCTATGGGACAGCTTACCAGCTCGAAAGATATTCTGCCGACCTCTTGATCGCCAATTTGAATGTCGAAGAACACGCGACTTCGCTCTGCCTCTCCATTAATGCCTGAATCGCGAAATTTGGGGGTCGTACTCGAGCTCACCTGGACTGTTGGAAGCCATGCTGGAGCTTTTCTGGGCAGGACAAGAATTTGAGGTGTTGGAAGTGAAGGGCTACAGAATGTGGAGAGATTGGAGATTGGAGGTTGGAGGTTTTTGTGAGGCTTGAGCCGCCAGAAGGTTCTACGATCGCCAAGAATTCGGTGAAACTCGAGATGGAGCATTTCCGATGCAACTCTGAGGTGAGGTTGTCTACTGCCCGTATATAGAGCCATATTCAAAGTTCTCAGGAGAGTGATAAGAGGGTTTTTTGGAGTATTGAGATTCTGTTTCGTCCCAAGATATACCTTCACACAAACGTGGAGGGGTATATGAGGGGTAATTCCCTGCATCGATTTAATCAGGTTCTTGGTTAATAATTCACCCTACAATCGGGAAGTAGGGCACTTCAATGCTTCAAGTGCTATTGCCCTTGCTCTTGAAACATTTACACATATAGATAACAAGTCACAAGTGGAATAAGTATATAGCTTTGCTTCCAAGGTCTAAATATGTATCGGTCTATAAATCTGATATCGTGTCCACGTAGAAATGTATGCCAAAATTTGCCATAACGCCGACCAATGTGGCATTAGTAGCTGGTATCAATTGAAGTGCGCCGAAATCTACTCGAGGAGCTCCGCTGGTATTTGGAACTCCTTTACGATCTTAGTGAGATTGCCCACCAAGTCCGGGTCCAAGTCCACCTTGTCTAGGCCGCTCGGGCTTTCCATCTTAGGAGGATCCGTATCGATCTGGATGGTGACCTGTGGGGCAAGCAAAGCATCAGTGTTTTGTTTTCGAGGGAGGCTTTTGAGGGTTTACCTCGCCATCTATGCAGTTGAAGTCTATACCTACCGGCCCATCGTTACATAGTGTGACATCCATCATGGCGGCGAATATGCCATCTTTGACTTTGTCTGGCTCGTGTAGCTCTTGCACTTTCTTGAAGAAGGCCTGATAGAGCTCTTTTGCTTTTACACCTGCCGCAGACTGACGAAAGTCTGGCTTGTTCCCTTTCTTGGTGGAGGCGAGAAGGGTGAACTGAGAGACTAAGAGCGTGCCGGTCAACTCAGTAATAGTACAATAGAGCGTAGCCATCCGTACCACACAGCACCTCTCCTCCGATATCCATGACGCTCCGCTTCCACTACCTAGAATGAGCCCCAGTGCATGCTAGAGCACTTCAAAGGCGTGACTTACGCGGCCGCCTTCGTCATCATCCCACAGCTTCAGCTTCAGGACCTTCCCGGCCATGGACTCGACATCTTTTGCGGTGTCGTCTTTGGCGATGGCGCCCAGGACCAGGACGCCTTTGCCGATGGAGGAGATCAGCGCCCCGTCGACAGTGACGGATGCCGACTTGACGCGCTGTATAACCGCTGGCTCTGGTTAGCATAGGATTGCTGCAGTACGGAGTTCGTGATGCTTGCTTCTCATGCTGGCGGGAAGCTTTATGTGGGGAGAATGATCTGATTGCGGCGGGGTTGAATGTGGTCTATAGAGTGCAAGATTATAAGAAGGCGACTGCCGTGGTGTTTCAAAACCTCACCGCATTGCTAGGGCAACATGGTGACTGAGATGACGGCGACGGAGGCTTCCCCGTGGTGGAGCTGGACCGCGTGGGAAGCGGGAGATCGTAAAGCTTGGCGCGTACTAGCGCGGCTTCCAGTTGCGCCAGAGACACCGCAACCTCACGCATCCATCCGCGAACAATCACGACACCAACACCTCCATCACCATAGCCAGCGTGCCCGCCTACCAGCTGAGCCGCTGCTGCCCCATTATATCACCCAGAACCACCACACTCGGTTCAGACATCTGCCCGTCTCGCGCGAGGCTAGCCAGTCGCCATGGCTGCTCGAAAGCTCATGAACGAGGTCGAGAAGTGCTTCAAGAAGGTCGGTGAGGGCGTACAGGCCTTTGAGAGCATCTATGAGAAGATCCAGCAAACCACAAACCCCTCGCAGAAGGAGAAGCTCGAGGATGCGCTGAAGAAGGAGATCAAGAAGCTCCAGCGGTCCCGAGACCAGATCAAGACATGGGCCGCCATGAACGACATCAAAGACAAGAAGCCGCTGATGGAACAGCGGAAGCTAATCGAAACAGTGCGTCCCCCAATTGCTCCCCGCGTTAGAGCCCCGGAGCTGTCACTGACCTTGACCTAGCAAATGGAGAAGTTCAAGGCCGTGGAAAAGGAGATGAAAACCAAAGCATATTCGAAAGAGGGCCTGCAACTAGCGTCCAAACTCGACCCCAAGGAGAAAGAGAAGCTGGAAGCCGTGGATTTCTTATCAAACATGGTCGAAGAGCTCGAACGGCAGATCGAAACGATCGAGGCCGAGACGGAGTCGTTGCAGGTCACAATGAAGAAGGGAAAGAAGGCGGACACAGTGAAGGCAGACCGGATAGCGGAGCTCGAGCGGGTGACAGAACGGCATAAATGGCATCAGGGGAAATTGGAATTACTCCTGCGAGCGCTGGAAAACGGCGGCGTGGAAACAGATCAGGTCCGGGAGTTAGACGAGAGCATCAGATACTACGTGGAGAACAACCAGGAAGCCGACTTCATGGAGGACGATGGCATCTACGACGACCTGAACCTACAAGAAGAGGAGGGTCTCTACGGCATGGGCAACGAAGGGGATCGGGTTTCCTCGCAAGATGCACAGTCGATACAGGATGACTTACCAGATCAGGAGCGGTCGTCAAGTATAGGCGGTGGGAAGCCAAAGCCGACGGAACCTCCAACAACGGGCGCCCGAAGGCCATCTACACAACTCAAGTCACCATTACCTGCCCTAGCCACTCTACACACACCTTTGCCAAACGTCACAAGTGGAGCTCCTACAGCGAATATGAAACCAGCACCTATACCAACAAGAGCACCCGGGGAACCTTTGAAGTACGCATCAGCGGCGGCGGCGGCGGCAGCAAGTGACAAGAACGGCGTAGGGATAGCACCCCTACCTCCTCCACCGGGAATGCCTCCAGCACAACCAGCGAGCAGCCTAGCTCCATCTGGCGCCCGAACAAGCGCGACTACCTCACCCGCATCTACACATCCCCAGCCCGTGCAGCGAGCAGCTGCTCCCTCTGCAGAGCAAGCACCCGCAGCCCAGACATCATCGAAATCACCTGCGCCGAGCCTTGCAAGTGCTGCTGCTCCAAGCGCAGGAACTGGTACACCAGCGGCGGAGAAGTTAGAAGACTTGTCGAGGGTGACATCGGCAGAAGATGCTGTTCGAGCGTCCGCGAGCAGGAAGATGTCAGGATTTGAAGAGGACGACTCACAGTCGACAACACCGCCGTTGACGAATGGAGAATCGCACGCAGACGAGGAAGAGGAGGAGTCAGTTTACCATCTGCCCTCCAGCCTACAAGATCTCCTCTTGTCATTCGAAGAGAAGAAGAAGGAGATCAATTCGTCATCAAGACCGCAAAATGACAATGCGCTGGAAATATCTATGAGGACGGCGCCGGACTCTGTTGACGCAGAAGCACCCCGACACTACAAGCCTGCGAATCCATACCCGTTCACCCCTAACCACTATCCTCAGGAGCCACTACCGATATTCGACGACCCGAGGCTATACACGAGGATCGAGACCGATGCTCTGTTCTATGCTTTCTATTACCGGCAAGGCACCTACCAGCAATATCTTGCTGCTAAGGCGCTCAAGTCTCAAAGTTGGCGATTCCACAAACAATACCAGACATGGTTCCAACGACACGAAGAGCCGAAGTCAATCACGGAAGACTACGAGCAGGGGACGTACAGGTTCTTCGACTACGAGAGCACATGGTACGTCATCTTTCATTTCTTTTTATTCCAAATTGGCTAGCAACAGGTTGTCCTTGTTTTTCCTCTTTGAGGACCCTAGTTTCTTGTATGGAAATCATATCTGACTCTTTTATAGGATGAATCGGCGGAAGGCAGACTTCCGATTCGCCTACAAGTTCTTGGAAGACGAGCTATAGTGGCATCACGTCACGTGATCGATGGTAGGTCTTCGCAGCCTCTGAAGGCCAGCGGAGTGTCAATCCCTGTAGGAATTAAGGTAGTTATCCAAAGAGCTCTATCATGAGCTTTAGTTGGTGTTGATAGCTCCTCCCAAGTGTGACTTTTGTCGCTACTCCGAGTTCATTCTGATATCTGCAGGATCTACGAGATTGAAAGCTTGTGCTCATGAACAGTTCGCACTGCCACTAACCCTAAATCTTTGATCGCCAATCACTCGCAAGCATAGCTGTCTAAGCTTGAGTAGAAGTGGACGCTCATTGCTTTATGTGGATAGCCTCGTTCTCACTGCCGCACTCCTATGACAGCACTACCGCAGGCTTGTTGATATTCCGGTGTGATTCTATTTCAAGAGGCTTGGCATGGCTCATTCTGGCTTCCACTAACGGGCACAGCCTTGACTCCACCTCTGCTGACTCCGCTTGACAAGGCTGCGTGTGGGGGCAATCTGAAAGGCAAAAAGGCAAACATCTGCAAGCCGCATCCCCTCAATCCTCCACAGCCCCCCCCAGCAATCACAGTCGTACACGTAGACGTCTATCATATTTCAGAGGTATATGAATCCGACGCCCTTCTCGTGGCCTTCTTCGCCCTAATTTTCAGGCATCGCTGTCCGCGTATTCACCGGTCGCCTTCCTCGCGTCTAGCCATGTTCGGCTCTCTGGGTTCCCTCTCGTGTGGCTATGGTATCTTTCGAAGTGCAAGTCTCTCGAGAAGGCCCCGCGCTCACCACCTGCCGGAGTCCTCAGCCTTGTGCCCTTTGAAGTCAGGACCACTCGAGGTACGATGATCAAAACGCCGTTTCTGGTCAAGCCGCGCATGTCGTTTCTTCGCGTGGCGTTTCTTCTGCGGCGTCTCTGTTTAGACTTTCCACGTGTACTGTTGTTAGAGGTGAGGCTGCATTCCATCATCCGTCCTTCTCATGCACTTTCGACCAGCTTGGGCAGTGAGTAGTGCCACGTTCATCAATTAGGCATATAAATCCGCAGCTTCACTTTCACTACCTGCAGCCACCAGCCGCCTCATCGTCCTTGCCGAACTTCAACGTCAATTCTCCTCCTCTTGTTTTCACGAGGCTGAACGTCGCGGTGCGGAGGAGTCACGATCCTAGTTCATTCGGCAGCCCTCAGGTCGCTCCGGACGCATAACGTGTCAATTTTGTTCTCAGTATTCAGATTCCACCACCCTAGCACCAATTGACTGCGGTCCGATTCTTTCCCTCTGTTCCGGTCTCTAGGCGCCGTTTTTGCCTTGAGGTTGACTCAGAATGAGCAAAAGTGTAGATGGTAATCCCTAATTTTTCTCCAGAAGGCAAACCATTCAAGGATGTAAAGTCATAAAGGGGCGTTTTGGAAGGACGGGACGTGATTCATATATATTGACATTCGGTGGTTCGCGGTCACTCGAAGCAGCAAACGGGCCAAACGACAAGCGCTCATATATCAAGACAGAGTACTAAACAAGGCTGTACGAACTCGCCGCTTAGGCATTAATGCATTGAGGCTTCACTTTTCTGACAGCACTAGCATAAGCCCGGCAATCTACCTCGCTATCTTACGACAAATAGGATCCATAAACTCACTGCCGCCGCGCCTCCAATGTCGCCACCACAACCCACAGGAAACTATATGGTGCGTGCGTTCCTAGCTTGTTGAATTCAGCTAATAGATGTTGGCAGTGGCATGCCACTCCAAGCGCTGAATATGAGGCTTCGAATCATAGCCCCAACTCCTCTACCCATCCACAAGACCCCTATAATTCAATCCATGCGACGACCACGACATCTTACTCACGTTCGCTCCAACCCGCAACAACTGGACACCAGTATTATACTGCAGCTTCAGCCGCTCCTGGGTATTCTTCCGGTGTCGCACAGTCCACGCCGACATGGTCTAGTACCCAGAGCTACCGAGTGACTCCCTCGACTCCGACAAGTCACGAACACGCAAGAAGTCAAGGATACCTATCACCAGGAGGGCATAATCCACCAAGCGCATCTTCGACCGTCCAGCCTACTTACACATATCAACAACCGCCACAACCGTACCTCGTTTCGGAACAGCCTGCCCATTCGTATTCTGTCGCACCGTCATATACGTCTAGCGATTCCTATGCTCCCTCATCAGCGGCGCAGATTAGCAACGCACAGTCCCCAACATACTACTCTCCATATAGCTACCAAGATTTGCCAAGTATTCAGCTCCCGGACAATCAACAGCAGACCGAAGAATATGCGGCAGACGAGCGCAATGCCGACTACTCGGCTTCACCGTCTCCTTCAGCAGCCTCGCCGGGACGGCTCGAGAGCAAAACACCAAGTAGAACAAACAGTGGGAAGGAGTAGGTGCTATTCACTCTGCAACGCATCTACTAGCTAACAATCACTAGGAAGCCGAAGTCGACGTACAAATGTGACTTCGAGGGATGCACTTCCACCGCTTTGTTCGGCAGGTTGGCCGACCTCCAGCGGCACCAAGCGACGGTGCACAGCGAAGACAAATCATTCCCCTGTACTGTTCACAGGTGCAGCCGCGTAGGTCCTCGAGGCTTCAGCCGCCGCGATCACCTTACCGAGCATCTACGATCGTATCATCAGCAAAATATCCCGAAACGAGCACCTGGCCAGAGATCCGCGCCTCAAAGCTTCATAAACTAAGCATCAGCACGTCTCTATGATCGAAACTGGCATGTGCTTTAGCTCCTAGGTTTACCGTTGGCCAAACCGAGACCCCCACCGGATCAAGCATAAATGACAGTTTTCGGCACCCGAAATATACGATCTACAAGTCTCAGCCCGCAGTGCCTCAAGCGAAGGACTTTACCCGGATCCCAGGACTCATACATCTCGGTCATTTTCCTCTTTCTGTCGATTTCTGCATTTCTACATCTATGCATTCTGTGTTTATGAGGGTTAGAGTGTCATCGATGGCTTTTCTATTATCTCATATTGCCTCTCTTCCCACTACGGTGCCCAAGGTCGTTCTATGGGTTTTTGGAGTATTTCGGCGTCCTTAGGCAAGTCTTTATTCGACCTGACAGGAATTCCATCCCCGCAAGCAATTTCTTGGAGTGGGGACACATCGGGCAAATTATACAAGATTTGGACTGCTCCGCAGATACGGCCACGTTTCGAAAATTACTCTTTGGATATCAAATCATCCGAACTATGATGTGAAATGCATGACGAGCTTGCTAGGTAATGGTATTAGGAAGAATAGTCCCAACGCGTGTTCGAGTGTCTTGCATGACCAACACATGCGAGATAGACAAGCTAGTCCAAAAGGGATTCATAGCGCTGGAATGACCCTTCTTAGCGCGGACTTTACGGAGACTCTGCGTGGACCGTTCGCGGATTGTTGAGCTCTTTGATCTTTCCATTGCTTTCTAATATACATCAAGGTCCCCCGCATCGCTGACGATCTTAGCGAATCATCTCCGCTTTAGCTTGATCTTGATAATAGTCGTGATCTCGATTAATAATAGCGCCATAGGTTGTATAAGCAGCAATATATAAAGTCTCCTGATCAACGCGTCTTCTGAATAAAAATAGCGTCAACTTCTCTTCCTCAAGAACGCATTTTGAAGAGGAGAAAATTATTTTCCGTGCTACTATATAACGAATACCATACGCATAAGCCAAAACCGCCGAGTAAGCTTCAATTTCTTGCTTATATAAAGTACGCTAACAGTAACTATACTTCAAGAATTCCTACACAGCCCAAGAGCGAAAAAAAACCATGACAATCCCGACAACTTCAAAAGCTTTGGTAGTGGCAGAAGTGGGCAAACCGCTCTCACTCATTACAGACCACCCAGTCCCCAAGCCAGGCCCGGATCAAGTCTTGCTCAAGGTCACCGTCGCAGGCATCAATCCCCATGACCAGAAGACCCGCGATGATGGTCTCTTCACTGCCGACGGCCTTCCGGCGCTCGTGACAAACGATGTTACTGGTACGGTCGTAGCGCTCGGCCCTGGGGTCACTAAGTACCAAATCGGGGACCGTGTCCTCTCGCATCCAGGATTCTCAACGGCGTACAGCCAGAACGGGTCGCAAGAGTATGCAGTCAACGACATTGGGGCCGGATTCCAGATCCCTGACTCGATTACCGATGACGAAGCAGCGACTTTACCGACCAATATCATTGCGCCGCTTGTAGGCCTGTTCGATGACAAGAACGGAGTGGGGATCCCCGCGCCGTGGACAGATGCAGCGAAGTCCTTCGACTACAAAGGAACCGTTCTTCTGATTCTTGGCGGCGGAAGCAACTGCGGCAAATTTGCTGTCCAACTGGCTAAACTGGCGGGCATTGGCACCATTATTACTGTCGGCGGACCTGAGCAAGAGTTGAAGAGCTACGGCGCCACTCACGTCCTCGATCGCCATGGCGGATACGAAGCAGTCCTCGAGAGGGTGCGCAAGGTGGTTGGCGATGATTTGATCTATGCCTTCGATGCGATCAATGTTCCTGCCGATCAGATCCTGGGTTTGAATGCATTGTCGAGCAGCAAGAAAGGCAAAGTAGCGAGGCTTTTGCCCCTCGGCCCGGTTGATGAGACCAAAGTGGTAGGTAAGAAGGCTGGCTTCGAACTGATTGATGTCTTCGGGTCATCTCAGGCTAGGCCTGCACTTGCCTATCCATTTTGGGAACACGTGCCGGCGTATTTGACGAGCGGCAAGATCAAGCCGTTGAGTTTCACGGTCAAACAGGGGTTGACTGCGGAGAATGCAAACAGTGTGCTGGATGCATACAGAGATGGCAAAAGGGTCCAGAAGACGCACATACACGTTTGATACCTTCATGGTCAAGCTGGCGTGGGTTGAGACTTAGTTTCCGCCAGGCCGGAGGACTACTTTGAAATTACAAACCTGTGAGACCTTGAGGAAACGATGGGCCACCCGGCGACTACGACGTGAAAAGTGATGCCAAATGTGCATCGAAGATTCCCGAGAGAGTACAATCAGGTATATTTGGATACGGCTCGTGCAAGTCTAGATATTTGTTCTGCTTCATCATCCTTTGATCGCCGACAGAAATCTCTACGGGTAGTGGAAGGGTAGTTTGATATGCAAATAGATTACCCCGCCGCCACATGACCCCTCATTCCTAAGACGACATCCCGAAGCGCTATTTCAAACCCCACCCTGCACTCCGGGACGGGACGGGACAAGCGCTCCAACTAGCAAGGGGTCGATGCGGCGAAGCACGACAAAGCACACTTTCCATCCGCATCAGGTTATCCTCCTTGAAGGCTTGCTTGGCTGCGTGTAGGATTGAGCTGGCTTATCATGGCCCACAACTTTAAAAGAAGGAAGCCTATGCATACGCAGTACCCCTCTTCAACTGTCACGTAACTCCAAAATCCTTTAATTTTCAACCGTCTTCCACCTTCACACTACTCGAAGATGCTTTGATAAATCAACCCTCTTCCACCACCATGGCACCTCAACTCCCCACCCAACACGCCGCCCTCACCGCCGCCGGCCTCTCCTCCCTCCTGCTCTCCCCTACATCCCCCGCATACGCCGCACGCGAATCCTCCTACTGGGCCGCCAACGCCCGCCTCCACCCCTCCTACATCATCCAGCCTCGCACCACCGCCGACGTCTCCCGCACCATCAAAGCCCTCGCGCGCGCCGACGGCAACTTCGCCATCCGCAGCGGCGGCCACTCGCAATGGGCCGGCGGCAGCAACATCCACGACGGCGTCGTCATTGACCTGGGCCTCATGACACGCGTGACCTACGACCCCGAAACAACGCTCGCGTCTATCGAGTCTGGTCTGCGCTGGGGCGCGGTCTACAACGCGCTGGACAAGCACGGGGTTTGCGTTGCGGGCGGGCGCGTTGCGGATGTAGGGGTGGGCGGGTTCTTGACCGGCGGCGGGAACTCGCACTATACAGGCCGGATGGGGATGGGCTGTGATAGCGTGGTTAATTTTGAGGTGGTGCTGGCGAGTGGGGATGTGGTTAATGCGAATAAGAGCGAGAATCCGGATTTGTGGAGAGCGCTGAAAGGGGGATCGGGGAACTTTGGGATTGTAACGCGGTTTGATATGCGGACCATCCCGGCGACGAGGGTGTGGGGTGGGGTTATTGTGGCGCCGAGGAGTAGTGGGATGGAAATTGTGGAGGCGTTGGTCAGGTTTACTGATGAGAGCGAGAAGCGGCCTGAGGATGCGATGATTGTGGGTTTTACGTTTATGGCGGCGATGGCTAGTGAAGTCGTAGCGTTGAGCGTGCTTGTGGATACGAATGGGGTTCCGGATGCCGCTGCGTTTGAGGAGATTCAGAAGGTTCCAGCCGTAGTTAAGGACCTTAAGATAAGAAGCGTAGAAGAGAGTGCGAACCTATATTCGCTTCTAGTTGATAAGCGGTATGTAAAGCTCCCTCGCAGTCCTTAAACCAGTGCACAGGTTTTCCATGTAGGATAACACCGACTAGAGTTGTTACCATCACCCTTACATTCCGAAACGACGCCGCAATCATCAAAAAAGTTGTCGAACTGCACGACGAATTAGTCGAAGACTTTAAAAGCCTGATGCCCGCAGAGGCTTTCGCGACCCAATGCCTCCTCCAACCGCTCCCAACCTACTTCGCCCAACGCTCCGTCGAGCAAGGGGGCAACGTCCTGGGCCTAGATTCCGTCCTGAGCAACTCGATCTTATGGCTTGGCCAAGTTAGCGTCGACACGGATGACCAGCACACAATCGCCGAGCCAAAGATAGTGGCGTGGAAAGATGCAATCGAGAAGTTCGCTATTGAACGTGCCGGGAATGTACCATGGCGCTATCTCAACTATTCTGATGCGTCGCAGAAACCGCTCACCAGCTATGGAGCGGATAATGTAAAGTTTATGGGGGAGGTGGCCGCGAAGTATGATCCTGAGGGCGTATTTCAGAGGAAAGTACCTGGCGGGTTCAAACTGTCGAGGGGCCAATGAAGAAAGTGGATCGTGGTGGATCGGTTTGCTTAGACTCGGGGTGTTTGATGTGAATAATTGAGCTTTGCATAAACTTTGGGAGACCTGAAGGTACGTGAAACTAACGTATAGAGCCAACGAAATGTCTCTTTACCTAAGTTCATGAACGAGTGGGAGGCAGCGTCACAGGGGTTTGGGCGAGATGATATATAAGTAGATTGGAGTAGAACTGTATTCACTCCTCCATAAAGAGAGTATCAAATTTAGCCTTGCCTTGGTCTCAAGAGATTGTCGCAGTTTTGTTCCAATTAATCATGTGTAGCTCTGCAATGAACCCCTTAACTACTTACTGAGGGGCTGCCGATTGGGATGGTGGAAAGAGAGTTGCACGATATTACCATCGGAGCCTCCGCTTTGCAAAACCTACTCCTCGCCTCCAAGGGTTTCTGTAGAAAGCTGTATGGCTGTAATAAATTTTCAGTGAATCGTGATTGCTATCTTGTCCGAAAGGAGGATCATGAACTCTGTGTTCTACAGAAACGTCATTGTCTTGTTCCACGATGATTCTACTGGGTGTATGCCATGGTAGAGGGCCGGTGAACTCTTACCATGCCTTACTGATTGACCGGTTGGTGTTGGAGTGAAGCGACCTTGACTGTGAAGAGACAGTCGGCAGCCTCACATTTCGGTGGGGTGTTGATGACGTGAGTCACCTGACATGCCAGCCTTCACATTTGGTGAACTTTGCCCGCCGCGCTTCAGATTGTCGAGTCACACTATTGTTTCCTCAGCTATTGTTCTCGCCTCCATGGACATCTACTTCCTTCCTGTACACTCCTACCACTCTGCTCTCCCTCTGCAATAACCTCCACAGCGCTCCACGTCCACACCTTCTTCTCTTCAGATCGAACCCCGCACAGCAGTCAGTCGGTGCAGGCGGCTGGCCACCTCACCTGTACAGCGCATACCTTTTATATTTTCCCAGTTCTCTCCAAAAGTCATTTCTCTCCATCTTCAGCAAAATGCGCGATCTCCGTCGACAGGCTCTGGAGAGCGGCAAGACCGTTAGCCGCAAGGCTCGTTCCAGGAACATCTCCGCCGTCTCCTCCAAGGTCAACTCGGCGGTCAATAGCGCTGCCAACTCAAGGGCAACCTCCCGTAACCCCAGCAGGCATGGGTCCGACGAGGAGGACAACGACCTCTCTGATGGTACTGCCTGGAGGTATGTGTCTCGCGCCTTCTCCCCGGCTCTCACCTCTCCATTCCACGTCATCAGCCCATTCCACCTTCACTGTGCTAACACGATGCTACGCAGCTCTAATTCCATCGAAGATATCCTCAACGGTGAAGATGTCGACCTCCCACCTGACGCATGGAAGTCAGAGCTCCACACTCGCATCGAGCAGATCGTGGACCGCAAGCGCAGCAGCACCGAGGGCCGCGCCGACAGCCTGAATGCCTTCGCGCACATTCTTATGGCACGATACGCTAAGGACGACGTTGAGAACAATATCGATGAGCTTCTGCCTTCGATGATCAGGAGCATCAAGGCTGAGACCAGCGAGCGAGAGACCGTGGCTGCTCTGAGAGGTACTATACCCACAGACTTGCATTCGAAGCCAAAGCTAACTCTGCCTTCTAGCCCTCGCTGTCACCGTCATTACCATCGACGACGGACAGATCTACGACTCGGTTGTCGAGCAGCTCAAGCGCACCGTCTCCGATTCCGAGTCCATTCAGGCCAAGATTGGCGCTATCCACACCCTGGGCACCGCGACCTTCTTCGGTGGAGCTGCGACTGAGGAGACTGAGGACATCATGGCTTTTCTCTTGGAGATTGTCGAGACAGACGGTCGGTCGGTCAACGCTCACGACGATGCTGGCGTTGTGGTGGCTGCGCTCGAGGAATGGGGCCTGCTCGCCACCGAGCTCGACGATCTCGAGGTGGCAACCGAGACAGCAATCGAGGCATTCATCGACCAACTTCAGAGCTCGGACTCGGGCGTTCAGGTCGCAGCTGGAGAAAATATCGCCTTGCTGTACGAGAAGTCCTACACTCCTCAGGAAGAAGACGAAGAGGCTTCGAACGATGAGGAAGATTCCGAGGACGAGGAGACCGACAAGACAGGTCCGAAGATGATCAAACGCTACACCGTCTACCGCCGTACAGATCAGCTCATGGACACCCTCGATGAGCTTGCCAGCGTCTCCACCCGCAAGATCTCGAAGAAGGATCGCAAGACTCTTCATTCTAGCTTCGCGGACATCCGCAACTCGGTCGAGAAGCCCACCCGTGGCCCCAAGTACAGCACCGCGCTGAACGAAGAGACCGGCCGTAGCTACGGAGCTGGCCGTATGAAGGTGCGCATCAACCGCAACGTCGAGGTCCGCATCGACAAGTGGTGGAAGTTGCAGCGCCTCAACGCTCTTCGACGAATCTTGCAGGGCGGCTTCCCCACCCAGTACGACGAGAACGAAGCCGTCAGCCGCATCCTGCCCTTCACCATGGCAAAGAACTAGGACGGATCCAGCTGCCTTGACAGAGCACTTCCGACATAGCGAGCGTGAAGCGTCTCGCGAATCCTTCCGATGCTCGGCATTCCTGTGCCCTATTTCTTTTGTTCTCACTTTTCACTTGTTACATTTCGGAACTCTTATCAGGCTGGTCGGACACGACCGTCGGCATTTCATTGCAATCAACGAACGGGTCACGACAAAAACGGTGTTGGATGGGCTCTCGTGAAATGGTCTCTTTTTTTGCATCGGCATCGGTTAGGATTAGGCATACCCCCTCTTGCATTGTTGTGTTTAGCCAATTTTGGCTAGCATGGGCATATATCTCTGTTCGGCATGATCATGAGCATGAGCTCAAGCATACATGAGCTCACTATAGGCGGTCTTTTTTGAGGTTCAGGCAAGCATCGGATGTGCAGAATCAATGAGAAAGACTTTATTTGAAATTTTCAGTGCATCTTTGCGCGACAAGCTCTGTTCTGTGGTGGAGTCGTGAATTTGTGAATATGACAATAATGGCTTCTGCGGTGAGATTCTGCTACACGTGAGCCTCTCTTGCGTGAACATCCGCATTCACACACCCCATTCACCTTTCTCCTTCTAGGGTCCAGACGTCCGGCGACATCTCACTCACAGCGCTGCGCAGCGCCTCCAACCGACCGACCGACCGCGCTCCTTCGTCCCAAAATATAGGCCACACGCTAGGTCTGTGCTTCTACGCCCCCAGCTCAGCGCAGTTCCCCCCCCCCCCCCCCCCCCCCCCCCCCCCCCCCCCCCCCCCGCCGGGTCTTCCGCGCTCAGAAATTCATTCGCAGTTCCCCTTGCCAACATCAGCACTTCATCCCCCGCTCCCGGGCGTAAACAGCTCCGCCGACAGCATCAGCACAGCTGGCGCCACCGCCAACGCGCCCAGCGTCTGCGTCCGCGACCGCAACGCCGATGTCTGGTGCTCCTTGATCGTAGCTAGGCCGGCTGCGCGCTTCTCGTCGGGTTTCGCGGTGTGGGTATGTGAGGGCGACTGGTGTGATGTGTGGGAGGACGAGGAGTCGTGGCGGTGGAAGGAGAGAGACGAGAGGCTGATGGAGCGGTGGCGGGGTTTCGAGGGCGAGGGCGATGGAGAGGCGGGCAGGGCGGGGAGTGGGATGTTGATTTCTGTGAAGAGGGGTTCCTCGGGTGCGGAGAGCTCGGGTTGCAGGCTTGGAGTTGTGGGTGGGGAGGTGGAGTTTGGGGAGGACATGGTGGTGATGTGCGCAGGTTGAGAAAAGATGCGGTAGTGATATTTGAGGTAGAATTGAGATTCGTAGTAAGATCAAAGCACAATGAAAGAAGTTTTCAAATATGGGAGTGGTTGATCAATATCGCGCTCTTAAACTCGTAAATTGCGATGGCTGGAAGACTTCCGTTTGCGATGAACGAAGACGGTCGCAAGGTTTGAGGAACGTGCCCGGGAGGTCAGCCTCTAATACACTCATTCCTCACGATTAGGCACGCGCAAAACCCGAGCATTGCGGCGGCTGAGCCATGAGGCTTATGGAGGTTGAGTAACGTCTGTGCGACATGGCTGTGGCGATCCCGTGGAGGCGCAGCCCAATACGCATGATGACCCTCTTTGAGCATGTGTTGCGATTTGTATTGGAAGCTTACGACACTTTCGTTAGTTGTGGTGTTCCGCTCTTGGTAGGAATCGCGAAGGAATGTTATGCGCGTCTGAAACAACGATCGCGCTCTGTGTTCGTCCGAAACCATCGCACTTCGATCCGGATCGGGATCCTAAACATGCTCCTTTTGGGATATGACTTTCACCTTCGGAGTTAACAATAATCAGAGGACACGAAAGCGAACTTATATCAGGTAAAAATATCGGATATTTCGCTATGCTCAATGCGATGGACTGACGGTTCTGTTGGTGCCAACGCCGCTCGCCAGCAGTTCCAATCTGCTGGCCTGGATCCGGTGCTTCTTCATCACTTCGACCCATTCCTCCTCTTCCTTTTCATCCTCAGAGCCTTCATTCATCTCCTCTTCTAATAATGCGAGCATCATACCAAAGTCGCCACCTAGCCGGCCGAGACTCCCAGCACAATACAGCACTTGGGTAAATAAGCTGTCCCGTGATGAACGATCTTGCACATTTGGAAGATATCTCTTCAGGGTTTCGAAGAGAAGATCAACCAAATGAAGTGGAAACGTCGCGAGAGCTGATGGCAAAGGCTGCAGGGTGTCATCTTCCGGTAACTTCTTGTCTGCTGGTAGAGAGGTCGAGGGGAGCTTGCTCTTTTGCTCATCTGGTTCAGCGATTGACCCTGGCGGCGGTAGAGCCGCAGGAAAAATGCTCTTATACATGGATATTATGGCGAAACTTTGCTCGCGGAATATCTCAATGTAGCGCTTGAGATATCGCTCCGTTTGCTGACCGCCTGACCATCTATCGCTGGATCCATTGGCCTTGGCCCCACTGGCGGTTCTTCTCGCCGTCTCCTGATCTGCAAGTTCTCGTAGGGGATCTAGAGCCTCGAGCATAGAGAGGAGGTTTGTTAGTCGACATACAAGAAAGAGCGCCCCAAGTGCACCCTCGCTGCTTCCAATAGCTGTGGGCTTTTTCAGAGTCCACGCCTCGTCTAGCTCTGGGGCTACTCGCCGAAGCCATCCAATTGTCCGCATGGCTCCAGCAAGCTTTATGCCCTGTGACTGGAGACTCGCAATGAGATTCGTAGTCATGCCTTTCATCTCGTGTTCCGCTTGAGCTGAAATGGAAGTTACTAGATCCAGGTTCGGATAGAGTGTATGGAGGCGTTTGATATGGGCATGGAGATCCAGCGCAGAGGCATAGTTGGCGTTGGTGGCTGTAGATGTCGAAGCTGCGGGGGCTTGGGAGGGTGCGGTAGACGAGGAGATTGCGGACGACAGCAGGGTGGGCAGGTCGAGAAGGTCGGAGACGCGATCCACGTTCCTAGCTAACAGCATGGCCTTTCTCCGCCGGTCGAGGATGGGGTTCTCCACCGTCTTGGAGTACTTCTCCGAGAAGCGCAGGGCCTCGCTCTCCAGCTTCGGTATGCCATGGCGCACCTCTCCCGTCTCGTGCCCCAGCTTTGGCAGTGTGTCTCGAAGATTCGCGAGGCGGCCGGAGGAGGAGATGATGGACTTGTGGGATTTCTTGGAGAGGGTCTGCAGCGAGCGGAGAAGCGACTGCGAGCTTTGCGACAGGGACTGCTGTTCGGAGGAGCTGAGGGCCAGCAGAGGCAGCGTGGTCAGGCGGGCAAGGTAGGTGGACGTGGTGGGATCGGCGGCAGACGGGGCGGGTCTGGGGGAGGCCTCCTTGGAGTCGAAATAGGGCACGAGAAGCTCGTAGAGCGGGTCGGCCATGGTTGCGGGTTCGATGCCTTCGTGGTGCTCTCCGCGTCACCCCCGAGAGTGCGATTGACGATTCTTGGCAGCCCCAACTGCGGGTGGAGGATTCAAACCGACCTGGATTCTGTCAAGCTCCCGGGGGACACGCAGCCGTGCAACCGTGACGCTTGCTTGGCTCGCTGTCACCTCTGATGAGGGTGCCCTTGAGCTTCCGTGCACCGCAGAAAAATCGTGGCAAGAGACACTTTGGCACTTGCGGCCACGGACACGAACTGTTTGACTATTACTATGATTTGCACACATTCACTATACGCAACTGACAGCTCTCTCTTTTCTCGAGAAGCTCTTCCTCGCCAACGCGCCCGCGTTCCGCTGCACGCCCTGACCTTCACAACTCGGTGGGCGTGGCAGCAGGCTGCATCTGGACACACCCCCACTTGACGGGGGCTCGTCAGGACACTTCACTCCGCCATGCCTCTGTCGCCCTCAGAACCCCCCGATTCTTCGCCTTCTTCTTCTAGACCACGCCGCCTCCTGCCGCTTGAGGCTCTCGCCAACGCCCTTTCTCTACCACTGCGCATCACTTCGGTTCCTTCGCCTGTGAACAACCAGCCGGTTCGCGACGCCGACGACTTTTCCTGCGACGACGAAGACGAAGGAGACTCTCCGAGCCTATCCACTCCGCAGCAGCGACTCATACAATACCGCAGACTTGTACAGTACTACCGATTGGGCCAAGGGGGCGACTCAACGGCCATGGCCGCACAGGCGGTGACCTTCTGCGTGGACGATACTATCGGCGCAAAGGACGACAAGTACCGGATAGGCGTGGTGGATCGAACGTTCGGCGACGTCGACAGCCATGAGCCTGCACCTCAGCGAGACTATCCAGAGCCTATACTGAAGCATGACGACGTTTCCGAGGCGCAGTTCCACGCTTTCATGAGGACTGGCGTGCCACCCCGACGGACCTGTCTTGTGTCATGGCAGACTGAATATGTGACCGAGCTGATACCGGAGTCGGAACTGGAGCTTCTGGATCGCGCATTTTTCATCGGCGACGTCGTCAAGAGAGACGCTTTGAGTCCCATGACTGGAACTGTCATTGGAACCAGGGCCGAGTGCACGATATTGCCGACTGCCGCCATTCAAGAAGTAGAGCTTAACCAGATCTCCCAACAAAACATGTGCGTCCGAACTGTGCCTGCCGAGGAGCTGCAATATGTGCACGAATACCAGGAGGGTGCGCTTGTCCTGTACGATGACTGGGTTGGCCGCATTGAAGAGCTTCACGACGAAGTGGCTATACGCCTTGACAATGGCTATGTCGTGGTTGTCGAGCGTGCTAATGAGCTTGAGGCGGACGACCAGACAGTGGAACGAGTACACGTGGGAGACAAGGTCAAAACTAAGAAGGGAAACTTGCGGAGAGGCAGATGGAAATACGGATCTTGGAACCCAAACCTTAATCCACATGGCACCGTTGTGGAGGTGCGTACCGTGGAGATATCTGTCAGATGGCTTACCCAGAGCTTCAAGGCTGATCCGAATAACGCACGGCCACGATACAGGGAGCCCCCAACGGATCTCGGTCTGGACGTACTTGAGTCTGGAGATCTTCGCGTTTATGACCACACTAAGAATCCGCCATCACTGACGCCGGGCAATGTTATGGACCGGAGTTACCACATGGCAGACGTGACCGTAGGCGATCGGGTACGATTCAAAGACCTAACTGGAGCTTCTGTGAAATATGATGGGACCAAAATTCTTCCCAACGGCCTTCCACAAGGCAAGGTTGAGCGGATCCCGAGGACCGACACACAAGGATTTGACATGAACGTATACCTCGTCATGCAGACGCACACGAGTGTCAAGGTCTTATGGCAGGACCTGAGTATCTCCGAGGATAGCTCAACTTCGCTCATCCCGGATCCGAACATGGACGATACTGACGAAGTTTGGCCTGGAGAAATCGTAGCAAGCAAGGAGAAGGCGGACGAACAATTCGAAGAGTCTAGTTGGGCCTTCAAACCTGCCAAAGTCGGTGTGGTTCAGCGCGTCAAAGCCGTCGACAGGATAGCTACAGTCCGGTGGTTTGAGAATGCCGATATCCGTTTCACTGGGCACGACCTCATCTATCCATGCCGAACGGGAAAGATTGGGACCGTGGAAGAAGACATAAGCCTTTACGACATCAGAGATGTCGGGCTGACGAGACGGCGGGGCGACTATGTAAAGATTATGCCCGAGTCTCAGACAGAGTGGATCACACCCATCACAGACGCAGAGATGAAGAGATTAGTCGATCGTCTTGAATCCACTCCCGGGCTACGCCTATGTCACCTTTTCGGCGAGGTCATCGACCTCGGATTAGATGGAAAGCTAACGATTCGCTTGGGTGCAGCAGACACCGTTGTGGATGTCCGAGTGGCACCAGAGCGAGTGACTCTAGTACATAGCAGCGACATGGATTCGGACTTCTACAACGATGGTTATCACTCTATGGATGCAGATGACGACGACCCGAATGACTATGAGGACACGAGCATGGGAGACACCTCTGAATACGAAGACATGTGGGTCGAGTACGACGGCAGAGTTGAACACATCTCAGCAGATGAGGACTCGGCGTGGTCTACCGAGGATGAAGATGGCAGCTCAGACATATCTATGCATGATATACCGGATCTCTCGCTTCCAGAGAACGGTGTCGAGACATCCAAAACTACGCCTGAGTTAGAGTCAGAGATATCTACCGATGTGCCAACTGGATCGATACGACCGAATGTTGAGCAGAATCAACAACGAGCTCTGCCGTCTTCCTTGAGGAACATCACTAACGCTGCCAAACTGCCGATTGCAGCAACAACCTGCTCAGAACAAAACTCTGATCCAAAACCAGCGGTTCAAGTTGTTGGAAATCCAGCTTCGAGTGTTGGCATAGAGGCATTCAATCTCACAAAAGGAACACATGCGTCTCCTTTTCTTATTCTCGACACACTCCCAGCGGAGCATCATTACATCGACCATTCAAGGCCTTCAAACTCGGTGTACACCCGTCGTGTTCAAAAAGAGTTCAAAATTCTCCGCAACTCACTACCGCCTGGCATCTTCGTTCGGACCTGGGAATCCCGCATGGACTTGCTTCGTGTTCTCATCATAGGGCCTTCTGATACTCCCTACGAATATGCTCCGTTTATCATCGACATGCACCTTGGATCATCCTTTCCCAACTCGCCCCCTGAAGCCTTTTTCCACTCTTGGACTGACGGACAAGGACCTGTCAATCCCAATCTCTACGAGGATGGAAAGATCTGTCTTAGTCTGCTCGGCACTTGGCACGCCGATGAGCGGAACGAAAACTGGAACGCTGCCAAGAGTACTGTATTGCAGGTGCTAGTGAGCATCATGGGGCTGGTCCTAGTCAAGGAGCCTTATTACAGCAAGTATCTCCTTCTATGTAGTATATGACAGTACTGGACACGCTAACACAGGTTTCAATAGACGAGGCAGGCTATGACATCCACCAGAACACCCCAGAGACCTCACTGCCGTCTGCTCTCTATACTGAGCGGGCGTACTTCCGTGCCAGGGCATTCATCACGCATGCTCTGACGCAGAATGTAACTCCTTTCGACGAAGAGCTGAAGTGGTTGTATCAAGATCAGTCACCTGATGCACCAAAGTTACTCGACAAGGCTATTGCCGCTGCAAATGCAATCATCGAGCGAAGTGAACAAAAAAGTGAAGGCGATGTACAGGATGGGCTGAACATCATCAGTCTCGGGGCAGTGATGATGCTCAAGAGGCAGGTGAAGAGGCTGGAGGGGCTCAAATCGCGAGACGCTAGTTCCTAAACTGGCTTATGCATGGAGGTGCTTGCACTCATTGAAATCAAGGAAAACTTTGATTTTATCCAGTGATTTGCGTCTGATCACGAGCGGAATGGTGAAAAACTGCATGAGAAGTATGGATACAATACCCAGCTGCAAGACCGGAAATTGCACATAATCAAGCCATACAAATGATAGCGTCTAAAACTATGCATTATGCGATGTAAACTATGAAGCTAAATAACCAAACGCCACCCCCCCATTCCATAAACCCATACACTCATCCCCTCAACCAAACACCAAAGCCCTAACCTCAATACTCTCCCTCCCCACCGCCCCCTCGGGCGTCCGCGGATCCACAAACGCCGTATGCGGCACCCGCCCCCACCTCCCCACCGTCTCATCGCTATCCGAGCACTTCAGCAACAAGCGCTCGTCGTTCCGCATCCCGCTCCAGTAATACCACGCCTGGCCCGGGTTATACGCGACCCCCGCCGTCTCCCCGTTGCGGTCGGGATACCGGTGCTGCACGCCCACCAGATCCTCATCCCGCACCGTCGCGCTGTCCGCGACCGCCAGCGGGTGCGCCACCACCGGCCCGTTGAGCGGCCGCCACACGTTCACGATGCGGTACCGCCCCTTCAGCAACTCGTCCGCTTCGTCGGCGCCCAGATGCAGCTTCACGCGCGCCGCGGCGGACGCGGGCGTCTGGTCGATGTGCACGCGGGTGACGGGGCCGCGCGTCGCGTTGGGCGTGTTGCGGCGGATGGTGTGGTCGAAGAGCACGACTTTGTGCGCGCCGGGGAGGTTGTCGAGGAGCAGGCGCTCGACTTCGGGGTAGTAGACGGCCTTGATGTGCGCGTCCGAGGACCAGTCGGTCGCGGCGGAGGGGACGTGGGACAGGGCCGCGAAGGCGTTGGAGTCGAGGGTGAAGGCTGATTCGCGCCCGCGCAGGTCGGACAGCTGCACGGGTTGCGGGTTTTCGCCGAAGTTGCGCTGGGGCTGGCCTGCGGGCGGGGTTTCGACGTAGTTGAAGGGCGCGGAGCTGTCGGCGGGGGGTTGGTAGAAGGAGAGGGTGCTGGTGACGGGGCCCCGCGGGATGGGGAGATCTTGGGTGGCGGGGGTGGGGGAGTTGGAGAGGAAGACTTGGGGGGAGGCGGCCGTGGGTTGGAGGGTGGTTGTGGTGGCCATTGTGGATTTGGAGAGGGTTGATTTGGGTATGTGTGAGTGTAGAGGATGGAGTTTTGGGAGAGCTTTTAGTGTAGTTCTCGAGAACGTTGTGAAGATGCTATGAATTGAGTTATGATAGAAGATTGAAGACAATGGAATCTCGTTATGTGCTGGATAGAGTGAAGAAGCTGATGCTAGACACTAGACTGATGATGTTCGGATACCGAGCAGTCTTTGCTGGTTATATATGAAGTGTGTGGATTAGAAATTAACGACTTTGGTCATCAAACGACGTCGTTGACGCTCCCCTCACGTTTGCGGATTGGTGGCGATGATGCCATAGCTAGTTTATTCCCGAGGTTTCTAATCGTTGTTTCTCTGAACGGTCCAATGGCGTTGCGTCGCTGACTAAAGCCACCCTTTGCGCAAGGAAGACTCGCAGTCCCGAGAATGATGGAGGGCGCAGCTGTACAGGTGTGAGTAATCCGCAGAAGCTGGGAGTGAGATGAACCGGGCGGAATGTCCCGACTGGCTACTTGAACCAGGATGTGGGCATCTCTCGGCGAAGTCTCGCGCCCATGGAATTCCTTCGAGCGTCTGCTTACAATTGGAACGTCGTCAAGGAAGCGTATCCTAGGAGTGTAGTGCAGAAGACGCGCTCCTTAAACGATGAATGACTGTCTTATTGGTCACGTGCTTCCGTCGACTAACGCGGTTAGAGTGGCAAACGGAAGTGGATCGGCCGACGCCGTTCAACTCCCCACTTCCAACCTACCTAGCACCTAGGTTACCCTCGACATTGCTGGGCGTAACGCAATGTCATCTCAACTAATAAAACTCCCAACGGAGCTCGTCGAAAACATTGCATACAATCTACCTTTGCCAGATGTCAAGAATCTACGACTAACGTGCCAATCGATTCGAGACCAGATTCACCACCCCTTCAAGGACCGCTTCTTCAGCCGCAAACACATCAACTTGACTTCCAAAAGTTTGAAGGGCCTTATCGAAGTCGCGCGACACCCTCAGCTGGGACCACCACTCAGTCATCTGTTCATCAACGCCACTCCAGTCTTTGAGAAACAAATTACCGCGATTGGCAAGAAGATCCATGATGCCTCCCTCGATGCTGCTGGGCTACGAAGCCTCTTGGAGATCGAGCGCGATCTCTTAGAAAAACAGAAGCCCACGATTTTGGAGTCATTCAGCAACGCAACGGACCGCAAATTGCTGAGCCTCGCCTTTCTGATCATCCGACATCTCCGCACTATCACCTTTATCTATGATGGCTTTGACAGTATGGAACCAGAAGATTCTATGTATCACATGCGCCGCTGCCAGGACGAAATGTCCCGGCCTTTCATGACGACAATGAGCGCCATTGCATTTAGCGGATTGACTGTTGACGAAATTACCGTATCAAAAGAGCATCGACATGGCTTTGTCACTATTGGGAAGATGAGGTTCATGGCTTGGCAGTACTCGAATCTTCGGCATGCTTTTGCCAACCTACGAGTACTCAAGATCGATTTGCGGGATTGGATGAACCCGACCAGAGGATGGATGCCAGGTCTGGAAAAGTCTCCTAATGTCGCTCGACTACTTTCGCGGATGCCTTCGCTTCGAGAGCTGGATTTATCTTGCCATGTCTATTCGTCACGGGAAGAAGACGTTTTTGAGGATGTAGGCAGGCTGGTGAAACTACCATACCTCGAAAAGTGTACCCTCGGCCTTATCCTGGCAAAGGAGCCAAGCCTCATGCGACTTCTGAAAACGTCCAAGAAGACTCTCAAGCATCTTACCTTACGCAACGCAGTCCTTGTCTCGGGGAAATGGACATCCTTCCTAGAGTCAGTTGCAGAAGAATTAGCCCTTGAGTCCCTGGTCTTGGACAATCTCTACCAGGATGAGACGATTGTTCTTTTCAAGAAGGATGGCAAGCCTGTCGCGAGATTAGAAGGAGACGGACTGAAGGAGAGGATTATCGAGTATGGGCGTGATTACCGAGTGACGTCTCCTCTTCATTACTTCCAAAACTTCTGGGACGATGCTGTGCGTACTCCAGGAGCCGCTGCTTAGGGAATTGTCCGTCGGGGCGATTGACTGTTCGAAGTACTTCATATGCATTTCGGTTGGGTCCGCACAGATGATTGGTCAAATTGATAGCATGCAGTGCAATACACCCTGATAGTGAGGCTTTGCTTAAGTGTATATTACGCATTCAAATACACCTGGAATCTCTGGTGTACTTGTTGATACTTGCAAATATTCGTCTGCTCTCCGTCTTATGTCTATATACGTTCTGCACATGCCTCACATGTGATTAGTGAATCGGTTAGATCTTGATGCCAAGGCGGGCAAAGCTCCGATCCGCTGTCAGTGGCGCTCGTGAATTGCGGGGTGGGATCTACAAGGGGCACTTGCGGCTGAGGTTTGAAGCTCAGCTGAAGACCTACCTCCTACACCAAGTACAGTGCTGGGCACCTCGAAGGCGACTGCACTTATCTATTGCTTCTTCGACTGGGGGCCTGGTGTTTTAAGGCCTCCATTGCCCTCAATCCCCCTCCACACCATCAATCCTGCTCCACACCATCAATCCTGCTCCACACCATCAATCCTGCTCCACACCATCAATCCTG